ATATATATATATATATATATATATATATATATATATATATATATATATATATATATATATATAAAGCTCTACGGATTTGAAGGTGATGGGAAGATGATGATGGTGTTATCTGGGTTGAATCTGAAGAACGGATTTGAAGGTTAGATTTTGTTTGTGGTTTATGGTGATTGTTGAATGGAAGTCGGAGTGGAGGTTTGTTTGGATGAAGGTAGTGTTTCGTTTGGAGATCTGAGGGTGGTTTGTGTTTGACGATGATAATGGTTGTGCAAAGAAGACGGTTAGGTTTAGTGGAAGAGGGGGCTTCGAAGCTTGTTGGTGAAGGCGTGAAGGGTTTTGAGCGGCCAGATGTGAGGCTGACGGTGAAGAGTGAGATGGAGAAGGGTTTCTGAAAATGGATTTGGTGGTCGCCGTTGAGGCGAAGTTAGTGAGGATTCTGTTTGAGATGATGATTTAATGGAGGAGAATGGCGAGGTAGAGATGGGTTGTAGTTGGTTGTTGCTGATTTGGGTTTTGAAGTTGGTTTGGGCGAGAGTGGAGGTGAGGTTTGGATCGTGTTTTCTGGGTTAAAGTTTTGTTCGTTGAAGATGATGGTGGGGGTGTTGTTCAATGGTGGATATGGGTTGCTGTTGAAGGTTGGTTCAGATGAGGTTCGAACATGGTGGACTGTTTCTGTTGTTGATGGGATGATGATGAGGATAGGATGAAGGTGGCGGCTGAATCTCTAGGTTTTCGTGTGCTGGGGGAAGAAGAACATGAACAGTAGTATATATACTACTTGTTTGACACGTGGCTATGATTAATGATAAATTATTGATTAAAATGACAAATGATGATGCTGAAGGGTTAATTACAATGTTGATGATGGTTAACGAAAGTGACTAATACTAATTACAAATCCTAACAAATAATAACTAATAATAATCCTAACTCTTAATAAACTAATTAAAGTTCTAAACCATATTCAAATGAAATTAAAAATTCTAATCTTGATTAATTAAGTTTAAAACCATTTTCTAACTACTTTAAAGACTAACTTCTACTTAATTAATTACAAAAAAACTATTTCAAAAAATAAAATCTATATTCTAACAATTATATTAAACAAAGAAATAAAAAAAATCTATTAAAACTCTAAAAAAAACTTTAATATCTAAAAGCTATTTAATTCTAGAAATCTATTAAATAAATAAAAAACTATTTTCAAATAAATCCTAATAGTCTAAACAAAATTAATAAAAACCTATTTAATATAAAACTCTAAATAACTTATTAAAAAAAGTCTATTTAAAAACTAAATCTATAAAAACTCTATTTAAAATGAAAATTTAAATTTAAATTCTATGCTAAGAAAAATAAATAACTATTCTAATTCTAAAATATAATAAAAAAAACCTATTCTAAAATTATAATAAAAAACAATATTCTACACCTAATTAAATTAAAAGGTTAAAACAAAAATCTATACAGAAAATTATATTTGAAAAGAAGAAATGGGAAAATAAAAATGGAAATAAAATTTACAAAAATAACCTTTGGCCATGTGTCACGCTCTCATTGGGCAAAATAATCTAGATTTGAAAAACGTCCAATCGGGGGTTGTCACGTGTCTAAACGGCACGAAATTAAGTGAAAAAAGCAAAATGGAAACTACGAAAATATTTACAAAAGCTGGCGGGCAAATTTAGAGTACGACAAGTACTACACGGCTAGAGGTCGAGTCGTCACCCTCCACGGGGACATCGAGGCAGCTAGGAGATGTTTTGAGGCGACAATCAAAGGGCTCAACTCGATCAACATAACCTCGAAGACGACCAGTAGACCAATCCGGGATGGAGAGTAGAGGCCACTACCTCGCGTCAACTCCGTCGACCTCGACAACCGCTTTCCCAGCAAGCAGGAGCAGAGCGCAGAGTCTGAAGATGCACCTTCAGCAGACAACGGGCAGCCGTGCCACCCAATGCGCCCCATTCCAGATGGAGACTTCAAGCTCATCACGTTCGGAGACGACCCTGGAAGAAGCATGAAGATCGGCATGAGACTCCCCCATCTGGCTAAGAAGCAACTAAAGGCCAGCCTCTAGGAGAACGCTGACTGGTTCGCGTCGAGCGCTATGGAGATGCCCGACCTTGACCCCGACGCAACCTGTCATCACCTCACCATAGACCCGACTGCTAGGGTTGTAGTTCCACGTAGGCGTATGCATTCTCCAGAGAAAGCAGAGGCTGTTGAAAAAACTTTAAAAGACCTCATAGAAGAAAATTTTATATCGGAAACCCAATACACAACCTGGCTATCCAATGTTGTACTTGTTAAAAAAAACATAATGGAAAATAGAGGATGTGTGTTGATTACACTGATCTCAACTGAGCATGTCCAAAAGATGCCTATCCGTCACCTAACATCGACAAACTCGTCGACAATTCTGCAGGTTTTAAACTATTGTCATTCATGGACGCGTACTCGGGGTGCAATCAAATCCTTATGGCGAAGGCCGACAAATAATACACGACCTTCATGACCAAGTCGAGCAACTATTACTACAACGTAGTGCCGTTCGGCTTATAAAACACCGATGCAACCTACCAGCAGATGATGAACAAAGTCTTCCGGGGAGAAATCAACGACATGCTTGAGGTCTACATGGACGACATGATCGTGAAGTCACGAGAAGAAATCGACCATACCGCCCATCTCAGAAAGGTCTTTGAGACGACGAGAAAATGCATAATGAAGTTCAATTCGGAGAAGTGCACCTTCGGAGTACGGGAAGGCAAGTTCCTCAGCTTCTACTTAACGGGGCAAAGAATAGAAGCGAATCCGGACAAGTGTAGGGCTTTCTACGAGTTTGCAATGCCAAACACGAAGAAATCTATCCAGTCTCTAAACGGGATACTCGCGTCACTGTCCCATTTTGTTTCCAAGTCTGTCCAACACGCTCTCTCATTCTTCAAGCTTCTGCGCAAATAGGCCATGTTTGAATGGGCTGAGTAGTGCGAGCAGACCCTCCTTCACCTCAAATAAGTTCTCTCAGAGCCATCGGTTCTGTCGAGGCCCGAGGTCGGGGAAACCCTGCACTTATATGTTGTCGTCGCAACCGAGGCTGTTAGTGCAATGCTGATTTGCGAGACTCCCGAAGGGCAGAAGCTGATCTACTTCATGAACAAAGCCCTCTTACTTCCTGATCTACGTCATGTGTTGTAATCAATGTCGCAAAATTTCACATACATTCTTTATAGAACTAAAGTACTCATGCCAAAAGAGAGAAAAAGTTTGTAAGCAATCAGGGCCGACCTAACACTCATAAAGGCCTAAGACGAGTTTTAGTGAATATTAAAATTTGATCGTCTAAAATAATAATATTTTTTTTATTTTCTAAGATATACAAATTCATTTATTAAAATTTAAGTAGTTATAAACAAAATACTATTTTATATTTTTCATTAAAAAAATACAATTCGTGGTGTGTGTGTGTATATATATATATATATATATATATATATATATATATATATATATATATATATATATATATATATATATATATATATATATATATATATATATATATATATATATATATATATATATATATATATATATATATATATATATATATCATATGGTTGTTATGTTTGAACAACTCAATATTGAATGGATATAAGGGGCTCACTTGTTTTTAACATTGTTTTCTCTTTTTAATAAACAAAGCACCCATTTTTTAAAGAATTAAAAATAATTTGATACATACTTTTTTAAAAGTAAATCTGATACATACATAATACATAGTACTTGAAAAAAGGATACATATAATTGATGCGCAACCTTGGTGGCGTGCCCCTTGGGTCGGGTCTATGAGTAATGTGAGTCTGTGTGTCTTTTCTTTTGTACTTTTTATGTTTCTTTAATTGAAACATCTTTTATTCTTATCATTTACAACATTGCATTTAATGTTAATTATTTTAAATGTCTTTTAATTCAATTTAAGCTCTATTGTCTTTAAAGTTTATTATTACACTGTTTGGAACCAAACATTTGTAGTCACATTCTACACTTACGTCATAGTAAAAGTTTTTTCACAAAACTGATTCCGAGATTTTTTGAATTAATCTCAATAACTTTCAAACTCGTGATTGTTCGCTAAAAGTCATGCGAATAGATTATATGCAACATCTAGCAGAGTTGGAAGAGCCCGCACTAAGGTGACAAGGGCAGTCAACCTTAGTATCAAGGTAAGCTCGACCTATAGTTAAGAGATCAACTATGTCTAATTGATTCGACACCAACTGTAAATGTCATGGCCTTCTATTGAAAGCACTTTGCCCCCACACACCTTGTGCTTAGGGGAATGTGTGTCGATCTATCCACAATACTATAAGTCTGCCCAACTTCATCTCTCTCAGGAGGAGTCTTAGAAAGACCTTGGAAAATACCTTATAAATGACGACAGACTCAGAGCAACCTCAAATAAAGTCGGCGAAGTGCAATGTTAGGGTTTATTACTTAAAGCACTTCTCCCTTACATGAATTGTTCTTAGGAGACCATGTACTCGTATGTTTATATTGGCCTGTGTTTGTCTTCCATGCAAGTTGGGAGAATACTCGAAATGTAAAGGGTGAGCCTAGACCGAACATGAGTCTCACACTTAATCAAAACCAAACACATTAAAGTATCAGGAGCTACCGCGTAATCATGTAGTCATCAAAGGAGAAGTAATACACAATTCATCGTTAAATGACCGATAATTTATTGGTCCTAACATAGAGTTGTAAAGTTATACAAAACTTTTGTATTTTACTAGTACACATGAATATAGATATTTCTGTAAAATAAAATTTTAATTAAAATATCTTATTTCATCCGTCTCAAAAAAAAATGTCTCATTGGTCGGTTTTACAAAAAAATGTCTCATTTATTATTACAAAACGGATGAAGTATTTAAAACAATAGAGTATAATAATTATTTTGCAATTATTAAAATTGTGGGTGAATGACGTCACAATTAATCTGACACCTTACTCTGTCTTAACCGCTTAAGCTCATCGATCAAAGCCGTCAAATTCTCATGGGATGAACCACCATCACAAACAGCATGTTTAGCTATTTTTGCCAACTTTTTAGCTCTTCTTCTTATTCTAACTGTTTCCTCACCACCGTCCATCAACCTTCTCAAAGCCTTTTCTATACAATCTTTTCCCACCACCTTTTCCATCTCTCGAAAAGCAGTCGTAAGCCACTCATCCACACCGACTTCAACTCCAATTCCATGCACCTGAGTCACCAACTTCTCGTTATAGAATTGATCGCTATGCACTGGCCACGTGATCATCGGAACCCCTGAACTAACAGCCTCCGCCACAGAGTTCCACCCACAATGCGTCAAAAAAGCCCCCACGGCAGGGTGGCCCAATATAACCACCTGTGGGGCCCATCCCCTTACAATCATCCCTTTATTTCTTTCTTCAAAACCTTTAGGAAGCCATTTTTCACTCTCCACTTTGCTTTCATTCTCCTTCCCTTTCTTCTCCGGAACAACCCATATGAATTCATAACCCGATGCTTCTATCGCACTTGCAATCTCATACAATTGCTCATCAGGGAAATAACAAAAGGTTCCAAAGCATATGTAGATTACTGAGTTATCTTGCTTTGAATTGAGCCATGTCAAATACTTTTGCACACTCACGGAGCTCTTTTCTCCTCTCATTGCCTTCTCTTGAGTTGTTTTACGAACAAGAGAAGCCGGTCCAAGATGCCAAGCTTTATGACCAATGGTTTTCTCGTAATAATCAACACATTCTTCTCCGTCGAGCTCTACAAAGCTGTTAATGATAAAACCATGGCTTTTCAGCGCTATTGTAAGTAGAGGATCAAGGAAGGATTTGGAACCCATTGGTGGTGTTGAACTAATGGTGACATCGTAAGGAAAATGAGGAACAACAAATGAACCGGAAGCATCCCCAGGGAGAGGGTGTAATTTGAGGGCTTCCATGGCACAAATGGTAAAGAGTGAGAAACCATTGAAGGCGAACCTTGGAATGGTGAGCTTGTTTGCGAGCTCATCAACCCACGGGAATAAAAAATCCGCCACGATGCAATCAGGTGGATGCTGCTCCACGAAATTCTCAAATTGTTCCTGGAGGAGTGTAGTGGCTTGGAAGATTTTATTGGAGCTCTCGAGGTCAGTGACCGAGGAGAGGTTTTGGACGCAGTCCGGGAGGCCAACTTCTTGAGAAGGGAATGGAAAGGTGTGAACATTGAAGAAGTTGTTGGATTTGGGAAGAATTTTAGCGTTTAAAGGAGTTGTGATGATTGTAACAAAGTGGCCTCGTGAGGCAAAGAGAGAAGCTATGTCGCATAGAGGGATCATGTGACCAGCTGCTAGGTATGGGATGAAGTAAAGTTGGAGTGGTTTCTCCATTTTTGTGGATGAGACTCTACGCTGCCTTGTGCCTTTGCATGCAAATTCATTTCATTTTTTTTATAGAGCGGGAACTGGAAAACGACGGATTTGGATAAGCCAAATGAAGCTATGGTCGCCGTTTGTCCATTTTGTGGCTCACTTTGCCAACAAATTATTGTCTTTGCTGGAAAACGGGTTTGGAATCTTTGGATAAGCCAAAGAATACTGCGGCCTGCTCCATTGATATAGAAAAAATCGGCATATTTTAAAAGAGAAAAGAAAAGAGAAAAACTAAGAATCAGCCTTGTTTTGGTATCAACTGGGCGGCTTCTAGTTCAATTAAATTGCAATTTATAATTTACACCTTATCTATACACGTTATAAAATAGACTTATATTTAATGCATTTCAGTTTATATGGAGAGAATTGATTTTACAATAGAAGTAGTAGTCATTTCCATTATAAATATGAGTACTTATATTTAGAGATGAGAATAAGTCAAATCAAATTAATTTTGAGATTTATTTTTATTGTATTTTACATGTTTCTAATATATTATATGAATTTTTATATATGTCATCAAATTTTAATGATATATTTTCGGACACGTATTTTTGAATAAATATTGATATATTTCAAAAATATATTTTCGGAATAATTTTAAACATTTAAAATATGTCAATCAATAATTATTTATATTTGAATTGTTGCGGAGATGCATCTTCGATAATGTATTAGAACATGTGTTTTTTACTATAAGTAGTGTATTTGTTTTCCGATGAAATATGAAGCACGATCTCGAATAAAAAAATAGAGTACAAAATAATAAGAGACTAATACTGGATGAGTCAAAAATGACATAGCAATATATGTAGAAATTGTCGTACAATCGAAATTCAAAATGTAATACAGCCGTTAAAATAAAGTAGAAAGTATAATAATACAACAAAATAATAACAGACTAGTACCGTGTGTGTGACAACATCTCTTTTACCTCCTCTGCTTACTCTGCCTCATCGGCCATCAACCCCACCGTCCTCCAGCGATATCTCTGGTACAGCAGTACCCCTGTGCCTTCGCCATGATGGCATCCAGGACTCGCCTGACAGCAGACCCATCAAGGAAGATACCCTCGTCAATGTCTACCCACACAATCTCCATTATGCAGCGGTACATAGGCAATACATCATCAGTATGATCTAGCTAGGCCTTCTACTCATCTAGTATATCTTGATGAACTGGTCTCAACGGATATTTTGGAGCAATTTGCACCATGTACGAATGTGACACCTTGAAGAACCATGTGATGTACCCCTAAACGTAGCTCAAGTCGTTCGGTGCTATAGTAGCATGTGCCTCGTGTAACACCTCGTTCCCCAAAATAAAATAAGCACACATCAGAGTATCTCCCACAACGGGATGTCACAATTCACACTAAAATTCCACAAAACATTTTTCCAAGTTAATTTTCACAATAAAACTGTAGCGGAAAATATAAACATCGTCTTCCATAAATCACAAAACAACATATATATATATATATATATATATATATATATATATATATATATATATATATATATATATATATATATATATATATATATATATATATATATATATATATATATATATATATATATATATATATATATATATATATATATATATATATATATATAATCCATATCCATCATCCTCGTCATATATATACAACAATGGCCATCTGCCCAAAATACATATAGCATCATCTACAATCACCATCAAACAGGATACGCCACAGGGGCACATAAAAATCAACAATACACAATAAAACTCCCAAAACGCCCCGGTGTTACGTATCAGAGCGGTCCTACGGGACACCACAATCCAACAAGCTAAACACTTGGATTGTCTGTACTTCCGAAGAAGCACAGACCACAACAACAACAAAGGGGTGAGAATCACGGTTAAATAATAATGGCATAATAGTACATGAAATAAAAGGCAGAAATCAATAATAATACTATTTCATATGCATGTCCTTCGGACTCACGGTCCCACCATCAACCACAACACACTATCACGCAACAACGCATCCACACAACTCTAACCATACGGTACCGACTCACAATCACGATGGGCACTGGGCCATCAACCCTCCTCACAGGAGCACATATCAACGATGGGCACTTGGCCATCAACCCTCCACAATGGGAGCACCACAACAATACCGATGGACACCTGGCCATCACCCTACACAACGGGAGCACATCTCTGATGGACACCTGGCCATCACCCTCCACTACGGGAGCACCACACAATAACATCGATGGACACATGGCCATCACCCTCCACTACAGGAGAACCTCATCAACATCGACAGACACTTGGCCATCACCCTCCCCACCGAGAGCACAACACAATATTCACACGCATCAAACATCTAGCACACCAAGTGCGCACCGATCCTATCGATCCACCCCTCACACAACATATACATATACACGACGCACAAGGCGTACCGATCCCATGGATCCACTCACATCAAAAAATACATACATAACAAGCACACACAGTGCGTCGATCCTACAGATCCATTCACCACACAACTTATCACATACAATGCACACAAGGCATGTCGGTCCTACTGACCCAATATATCACATAACAGCACACAAAAGCAACGCATAATAAGTGTATTGATCCTCACAGATCCACTCCCCATAACACACCAACAAAACGCACTCAAGGCGCCACGATCATACTGATCCTCACATCACACACACAGCACGCATACGGTGCATATATCTCACGTACACAACCGCACCGATTCATACATAACGCATAAATCAACGATTATGCCACTTGCGACAAACACCGTCCAAACAACCCTACAACCTCCAACATACGCTCGCATCAGCTCTCCAGCAAGCCTCTCGTCACACATGACCAACGAGGGTCCAAGTCCACAGCGGAACAACACAAAAACAGCAGCAGAATCACAACTATTGTCGGGCTCGCTAGCACATTCGCCCGGCGAAGCCCCGCAGTGAACACTCGCTACCATTCGCCTGGCGAAACCTCTGGCGAAGCCAAACAGAAGCTTCTGCCAGCACTCGCTGGCTAGTTCGCCCGGCGAAGCCTGGCGAAGGCTCGCCCCCATTCGCCCAGCGAATACCTACGTATTCAGAAAAATTATGCGCTGCAGAATCGCCTCCCACACCAATTTCACCCGATTAAATCGAAACCGACAACCATCAACATACTGCAACTTAGCTACGGGGTCTATCCCCGATTCTATCCGACTAGTCCTCAACTCTACTCTCAAAACCAACTTCCTGCTCAACTTCAAACTTAACCGAAAATCCCAAAACTCATCCAAAGTCTAACATTCTCAGCACATGCAACGAATTAAACATCAAACAACACAACAATCACAACAATAACAGCATGCAATCGACATCAAACATCAAGGAATCTATGGGGTTAGGGATTTCCCCCTTTCTACCGATTAATCATGCATTTACCAAATTTAACCGATTATCCCCCCTTACCTCAATTCAATCTTTAATGATGAACAAGCTCCTTAATCCGCACGAAATCCGCTTGCTAAGTTGCTGTTCTTGATCGTGTTCTTTCTCTTGCTCAAACCGTGTTCTCCTCTTCTTTCCAATTCTATTTGTCACCAAAAATGCCAACAATACCCCTTATTCCAATTAATCTCACTTTTTAATCCAAAACAAATATAATTCTCTTAATTCTTTTAATTCAAAAATCCAATAAATGATATTTTCTCATTTATATTAATATTAGCAATAATAATGATAATAATCAATAATAATTTTTACATTACTATCAATTATCACATTTTATCACAATTTATTAATATTATGAGTTTTTGACCTTCCACGATAATTCTCAAAATACAACCGTGAATAAAATAATCACAGAAACCAAAAATAATTAAAATGGGCGTTACAACTCTCCCCCACTTTAATTATTTTCGTCCTCGAAAATACCTGATGGAAACAACTCTGGATACGATTCCCGCATCCTGCTTTCCAATTCCCAGGTCATACTGCCACCTGCAGCACCTCCCCAAGCCACTCTCACCAACGGTATCTCTTTTCCTCTGAGTCGCTTCATCTTGCGATCCTCAATTCTCAACGGCAATGACTCCACAGTTAGATCTTCTCTAACTTGGACTTCATCCCTCTGAATCACGTGAGATGGATCGTGAACATACTTCCGAAGTTGCGACACGTGAAACACGTCATGCAAGTTTGAAAGCTCCGGTGGCAACGCCACCCTATAAGCCACAACACCGATCCTCTGCAAAATCTGATACGGTCCGATAAACTTCGGATCCAACTTCTTGGACTTCAAAGCACGTCCAACACCCGCCACTGGGTTAACCCTCAAGAATACATGGTCACCCACACTGAATTCCAACTCTTTATTGCGGTTATCGTAATAACTCTTCTGCCGATCCTGAGATGCTTTCATCTTTTCACGGATCATCTGCACTGTCTCAGTAGTCTGCTGTACCAACTCTGGTCCCAACACAACACGCTCACCCGACTCATACCAACACAAAGGAGTTCTGCACCTCCTACCATAAAGAGCCTCAAACGGTGCCATCCCGATACTGGAATGGTAGCTGTTGTTGTACGTGAACTCTACCAAAGGAAAATGAGTATCCCACGTACCACCTTTCTCCAACACACAAGCCTGCAACAAATCCTCCAAAGTCTGAATAGTCCGCTCCGACTTCCCATCCGTCTGTGGATGATAAGCTGAACTCAGCTTCAACTCGGTACCCAAAGCCTCTTGTAAACTCTTCCAAAACACAGAAGTGAACCTCGGATCTCTATCCGACACAATACTCAACGGTATACCGTGCAACTTCACAATTACCCGAATATAAATCTCTGCAAGCTTCTCCAACGGAAAGCTAATACTGATCGGTACAAAGTGTGCAGACTTCGTAAGCCGATCCACAATCACCCAAATGGCGTCAAATCCTCTCGCCCTAT